ATATAAATGTGTCATTGAAGTGTTTATTGGTGGAACATTTATGAACTAATGCATCCAGTTTTATGCAAGTAGTATTAACAAAATTGAGTGAAAAGTCTGGGGACTCGTGGGTAAACATTATGATATATATATATATATTAACTAGACAATCACCAAAGGTGGCGTAATTCAACGCATAATGAGATGGGTCATGACATTACCATCAGAAAATAATTTTATGTCAAACACCAACCTATATGGTCTTACCAACATGAGTACAACTAGAAATTGAGACACGTGGTGAATTAAGTACTCCGTGGTCTAACGAAATTTGTAGTTGTAGTTCCAATCACATCTGAGCAGCATTCTCACATGCGATTTAAAGACATTTTCTCAAAGAATGTTCAATTTGAAACACTTCAAACAGCAAAATCACCAATGATGTTTCAACCATACTATTATTTGTTTGCAAAATGTTAATTTATAAGACACATTTTTGTTCATGAGAGTAACTAAAACAATTTACTTCTAAATTGCACTAAATTAAAAACACTTCCTAAAACAAATAATTATGCAGTATTTCACCTAGACACCCGATTATATAAGTGTTCATAAGCAGGACACTTTTGTATGCCGTCTACGGTATGCAACTATAATATACACAGAACTTATTATCGACTGTATGCAGCATATTTATTGGAAAATAATGCTCACACACGTCACATACTGTGCATGTAGCGATATTTAGTATTTCCATAAACAGCTTTTATATATTCATATATTTTGCGAGTGTGTATACCATGTACCTGTCACAATTTTAATAACCGATGGAATTAAACACGATGTTGTTATCAATGCTCGAGTTAGTAAGCTGGATAACGCAACGCTAGACGGGCGTTAAATCCCTGTGATCTAATCATTAGATTCCTTTTCTTTACAGCTATTATTCTATTATTCTATATACTGATTACCACACAGCTGTGCAAATTTCAGTTTAATTTGAACGATCTCCCCCAAGTCTCTAATAATACATACCTATTTAACTGTTATTTAGAAATATAATTAATAGAATACAATATGAAAACAAATATTGAACAATAAATTAGTTTGCAAACATTTTGAGTTACCTTTCGTAAACGATGGTGTTCACGATTAACACTATTATATGTTGTGTGTTCAAGTAACTGGTAACTGGTAACTGGCTGTAAACTCCAGTGTTAGTGAAAGACCGAATTCAATTGGTCCATTGGTTTTGGTAAGTTCACTTTTTGCATTTGCGCATGCGTGCATAATGAATTAGGGAATATCCCTGTATTCCGTTAACCGTCAAGATGGCTCGTATTATTGTTTTTGTATAGTATCCTCTTCTTATTTCCCCCATCGACGCGGGTAACTTCGTGAATAATCAAGGATGAATAGCTCAACAGTACCTTGTGTCGTGCGCACGCTCATTCAATGATTTTATTATACTATTGGGAGTATGTGGACAGGTGGCATATTCGTTATAAAAGCAACAACAACTTGAAACGAATGATGCCATTTTAGATTGTCTATGGAAAGAGGGGAAGTTATCCTAAACAAACCGGAAGGTATAATGAAATTGTTACTCCGTTACGAAGCGTGTGGAAAGTGTAATTGATAGAGCCAGTGCAGGCAGTTGTGTACAACATTAATATTTGCAGTGGCATCCTTTCTTTTCTTTATGTACGGAAAAACTGATGAAACTTAAGTTTATGCATTTACAGGACCAGAGTATTCCATACTGCATAATGTCTTGCCATGATCTGAGTTATTACCAAATATGAAATGTTGCAGAATTTAACAGGAAAATGCAGTTCAATTCGTGGTAATGGTTGTGTGGTCATATTTTCGTTTTCACATTACATGCTCGTGAGTTATAACTACAATAATATTTTACATCGCACATTTCTAATTCAAATATCGCCTTGCTTGAAGCAACAATGATAATTAATTAATCAGATTTTAAGAGAAACGATCGGAAAGGATAAACACTTCTTATACATATCCTTGGAAGAAACACTTTTAAAATGTGTGTCTAGTGAAATCACTTTTAAAAGTGTTGTGATTACAAGCACTTTTTATACATGTTCCTTTACAAAACGTGTTTCTAATGGAAACACATTACATAATGTAAAACCATCCCTGACATGTTAATAACTGCAAGTGTTTCCATATAAACACTCCAAGTGTTTTTAAAGCTTATGAACACTTAAAAATCTTTTATCACAAAAAAGTAAACAGTAATGTTGTAAAATAACTCATTTGCGATTTTAAGAAAAACATTTAATGTGCTTAATTATAAAACACTTAAAGTGATTTTAAAATTGGGACAAAAATGTATCATATTTTAAAACAACAAGAATAACAGTGCAGAAGGAATCACTAGTCAAACATACTCCGCATTCAGCAAGATTTATATCTGGCGAATAAACCAGATTTATCAAAATTTGCATTACTAAGTTTGAGGAGTTAATAAATAATAAGACAAGTATCAGAATCCTGATTGAATACATTGTTTGTTGCAACAGTTAACAAATACAAATTGAAATTACATGGGATCGGTTGTTTGTGTGAGATGTAGTGTAAAGGATGGCATATACCCTTACATAAAATAAACGATCCATAACAGTAATCCGCATCGCCAGAACCGTCTGAACTGACAATATACAAAATAAAGAGAGAGGCAATCCGCAAAAGAGACATGGTACGTCATATGGAGCCATTAAAAGAAGTATAAAACAG